CACACTTAGGATGGAAGAAAGAACTTCCAAGCCACAAGCCTCATGTACAAGGCCACTGTGAGCAAAGACTGAAGGTTTTTCTTCAGCCATATCTGCAAGGAAAATGATGGGGAAAAAATACATTTATTAATTGCATTTCAGTAGGTTTGAATGTATATTTTCATTTATTCTTTAATTTTCCAAAGTAGATTCTAAGCTCATGATCTATTTAGTAAAAAAAAAAAAAAAAAAAGGTGGAAGGGATATAGCCATCATGACAAAAGTTTGGCAGAAGGAGGTTTGGCAGGGAGAAGAAGGGTAGTGCTAGGAGTGGTACACTTCTATGAGCCTCCCACCTGATTTCCACACTGGTATCTAGTACCCTTTTGCATATGACAGCTCCACATCAGAGTCATACTCATAAGGCACACAAATACTTGTAAGCTACGTTCCTCAACTGAAGAAAAACGTTGCCCTCAAACAAATCCTTTACGGTAACCAGTTGAACAAATACTGCAGCTAGATTGGATCAAATGAGGAAAAGATTATCGTAAATACTAAGTTGTGTATGGAACGGCTTGAACTCACCCTAAAAAAATAACCCACAAGGGGTTAATAGCATTTTGAAAAACCAAAACACAGCCTATCCACTATATCCTTATTATCTAACACGGTGGTAATGCTTGGAGAATTTTGAGTAGTAGCTTCACAGAAAGGAAATCCAGTAAGCCTGTCTCCAACAGAGGCATACTTCGCCAAGCGTTTCTCTGAAACGCTGAACAACAGCTCCTATGCAGAGTCTTCAAATGCAACGTCACACTGCCTTGCATGTAACTGCATGATGCATTAATGTTTTGTTTTTCAGCATAAAGTGTATATTATAGTTTTGGTTCTTGGGAAAGGCTGCAAGGAATGATCACACTTTGAAAGGCATGTGAAAGCCTGATTTGCTACATCCTTTGTTTCAGTGCACTCCAACCAGCTTGATATCTGAAGAAGTTTCATCATTCCAAGCTGTTTTTCACTTGTTTGCATATTTCTGCTTTGAGCTACAGTATTATCACTGTTTATTACAGTCAAGTCTATGCTTCTTTAATCAAATTGGAATTATACAATTTCACTACTTTCCAAGCCTAGACAAAACTGAGATTTGGATGAAGGTGAACTAGCTGTGACTGAAAACATAGTGTGATGTTTGCTAATAATGCAGTTTTCTAGAATAAGGAAACTGAGTGTTTCATCTGGTTATTGAAAGTATAGACATGCTTTTTTTGCTGAAGAGGTTCATGT